GTCTGATAAGTCTACGCAGAAGAACATTACTAAGTATCTAAACTATCAGGGCACCAATACTGAAAACACTATTTATTGAAAATTATACAATTGGCGCCAAAGTTTTCTGTTCAGGGCAGTCAGTCGTAGCTCTGTTAAATCGGTCAAACTATTCATCACAATATTTCTTTTATTCAAATCGTTCAATATACATTTTAAAATATTCATTTGATGTCTCCCCAATCTGCCTCTCATATTACTCATGCTCTCAACGGCAAAACTCAAAGCAAGTTGGGGTGGTGAGTTACAATCGCTCCTGAGTATGTGTACTAACATTTTCCATCGGGACTTAGCGACTCTCTCTGTTAACGGAGACACACCACAACGAGCATACAAGTCCTGGTTAGTCAATAGTCACTGGTTATCATTGGAAACCAGAACTTCAATTTCATTATCCGCGGTTAAAAGTCGTGTTAATTAGAGATCTGGTACAAATAAAATTGTTTGGATCATATGATTTCAAAAATACAGAAGAAATTAGGAACGGCATGAATTAGGAATGTTCATTTTCAATTAAAATTGAGAGCGTCAAGATTCTAAAATGGGTGTAAATTCAAACTCCGGATTCAAATCTCACTAGGCAAACATGATGGGTCTTAAAAGGCAGAACTGTGCAATAATTGTTCTAAAAAGGTAAGCTATATAGCGAAATTTCTCCATGAACACTGAACACAAGGATAAGTTGACCCTGATGGAATTGACCGGATCGTCAACCTCAACCATGTACCATGTAATGCATGCATTTATTAAATTTAGCTAGCTAAGCCGCCGCGCGCGGTACGTACGTACGTACGTACGTGCCCCGGACGTGACGTGCGCGGAGATCTAACACAAACAGACGCCGCCGCATCCGTTTTTTATTTTCAGTAGACCTTTTCAATGTGTTCATACACAAGTGCCGAGTTGTCACTCTCGATGTAATTAATTTTTAATTGAAAGTGTAGCATAAATGCTTTATTTTGGTGAAAACATGCACTCGAAATGGGTTTATGAGAACCAAATTTTGAAATTAGGGCCTGAAGCTACATTTTATTCACTTATTGAATCAAGCCCTGTAACCTATCTAGATTTTGAAATAATTGACCCAATTAGCTAATTTTCCATTAATCATAACAATCTTGCCAGAAGAAAAGTTGTTTTTCGTGTGAACATTTACTGCCCCAAGAATCATCATGTCTTCGTGGTCGAAATAAAATTTCCTGAAGTTTAAACATGTTTGCTATACAAAATTACAAATTCTACACTTATGGTCAAATCATGCCTTTCAAATTCAGCAGAATTTGAGATTTTCTTGCCTCTTGGAACCACTACCGTAAAATATTACTGAGAATTAACAACATTCGTATAATACAGAAATTTCGTGAACAGCAATATTTAGGCTCTAGATTTAATCAAATTGGCTGATAGTGAGCATCGTACCTTGATTAACATCATTTATATACTTTTATAGGTTGCATATTATTTGTGTGCACTAAAAACAAAACAGGTGTCGTGTTACGAGCGTTGGGAGAGCTAACCTCGCACTGCAGGTAAAACAGAAAAATAAATTTCGAACAAGAGTCAAGGTAAGTGACAGATTTAAGTAATTTCCGCGTACCCGATCCTGTATAAATGCTATTCACTAGAGACTCCGTTTCAAACACTTAACTTGATTGTAGTGTAAAACAGGGGAACTAATATTTTAAAATTAAATTGTCATGACAACAGAAGTAGCTTAGTAAGCAAAACTGTGCCCAGAGCAATCAACACGGGATTTTAGCTACACAGTGAAGGTCATGAAAATGAATAAAACTCCTTAAATCTTTAAATGCAAATACGAAATAAAGTATAAACTGTGTTTGGGTCAGTACTTCCTAAACAAAACGGTTCCTAAACAAAACGGTTTAGGACAATCCAAAAATGCAGAAGACACATGGACGCTTTCAACTATTTAGCTTGCTGTTACAGTCTCCAATTAAGCTGTTTCAACACATTAATTATCTATAATCACTCAATACCCCGCGTGCTGACTGTATAATCCTTCACCTTGACATTATTTTCTAATTTACTCGTGAGTTCATTAGTATGCTTAGGACAATTCTACCATCTAATCTAATCTAATATTAATATCTACTTAAATCATGTCCTGCACGTTGAATTATCCTCACTCATTCGTTGAAGACAAATATAGCTCTTAAGAGGAACGTGTTATATAAAGATATAACTGTGTTACGAGGGTATATGTTTATACCTGGAAAAATCGTTAAAAAATGAGGTCCAAGATTTTCAAAATCGAATAAAAAATGTATCTATAAAAGGCCTATCTCAAAATTCGGCTCGATAGATCTCTCCTAAATGATCCTTAGACTCTAGAACATATCCTGAAAGTTTCAGGGTGATTGCTCAAAAAATGTAGGAGAAGATAGATTTTTAGACTCGATTTTCAGGGCGTGTGATTGAAAATCGCTCACGCAATACAATTACACATTTAGCGCTGGCCGCTGACCTTTGACCGGCGATAATTTTGGCTAGGAACAATAGTTTTCGATGGGACTAAAAGCAGCTGATAGATATCACTCCCCTTTATCAGAAACAACTATAAAATCAATTTCGAGAGAATTTTGATGAAGACCCCCCGGCTCCCTTAATGAGTTCTCAGGTTGCTGTTATTGGGGTTTAGGTCAACATATTGAGGTCGAGCAACAAAAAGATCATTCTATGAAGTCTGGTGGAAGTAAGCTGCACATTTATAAGTCTAGCAAGATAGCTTTTATACTACTATTACGCTGATATAGTCTAACTAGGTAATATGCACAGAGATCTACAGTAGAATATTGGGATATTTGCTATCTGAAATATTCAAAATAGAGTTTTAAAATGATCACTATAAGAGATTGTTTACATATTATCATGTAAGCCTAGGGGGTTGGGTGTTTGGTAATTTCTACACAATAGCAAAGACCTACGTGTAAAGTGGCTTCTGGAGGGATGTCTGGAATAGCCAAAATCTGGCTTGAGATTTAGAGGTTCATAATTAATAGGACTCGTTTAGCCTATAGATACTAGATAGGTTCCCTTAAAACATGTACAAACACAGTGTGGCTATGCTGAGGGACTACGAGCTCCCTTTAGTTAGTTTCAAGCTTGCCACACTGATAACATGGTGAGCTGTAAAATACATCAATTAAGAAATATCATTATCTACACTAATGCAACCACTACACAGCTTGGCAAAGCTATTATAAAACTACTCTAAATAAATCTATATCATATTACAAATCTATGTAATGCATTTCAAAACCATTAACTTAGTTAAACAAGATATATAGCGTGACGTCAGCAAGGTGTCTCTCTCTCTCTCTCTCTCTCTCTCTCTCTCTCTCTCTCTCTCTCTCTCTCTCTCTCTCTCTCTCTCTCTCTCTCTCTCTCTCTCTCTCTCTCTCTCTCTTTTTTTAAATCTCTCAATTAGCAGTCAAACTTATTATAATTATTATAATTATGAGCGGTTCACATACTACGTCAGCGAGCCCAGGGGAAGAGTAATCAATGTAAAAAAGGACCGTTCAGCAATCAGCGTTCACATATTATATTACGTCAGCAACATTTTGAGGACCCCCCCAAGCAAGTTTACACATGGATCTATTACATTGGTGTAAGCTTTTCATCTAATTTCGAACTCCCTAAACGGTTTCAAGATGGTCAGTCCCGCTTGAATGGCCGTCATTTAACGTTATCACGTATTAATGATCTTTGTACTTAAATTTTAGAGTTAACGGACTTTGTGTAAGCAAATGAGCTTTATCGAGTATATGAGTTAATGACATATACATATTGCATATGTTAGAGTACAACTATATTCTTAACAATTAATAGAGTAATAGAGTACTTGCCAATTTGAAAGGTACACAAAGGTTTACCATTGGTCATCAGCAAGCTCGCCGAACAATATGCCCTCATGACGCACTTAAACCAACCACATAACCATTCAACGATTTAGTACGATTTGCAAGACCGTGTGATTATATTACTGCGGAGTAAGTAAATTAACACCAAATTACCACACAGACGAGCCGAATCATGAAGGTAGTGAATGTTACTGGAATGTGACTGCAATTGTTGTTAGGACATACCCTCCTATTACTAATACTGGACAAACAGGGGTCACTTATACGGGTCACTAGTATAGTAGTAAGCGCGCTTGTTTTCACCTCCGTATCAGGACAGACCCTCCTATTTCATACATCAGCTCTGTTTCTTAGTTTCACGCACATAAAAGTCTAGAACGGAGAAAAGTAAAGCTCCCAAATTTAAGTAGTTAGTTAGTTGCACACTTGAAACATCGTCGGTTGCGAAAATGTTGGACTACATTATAACGAATGAACAATACAACTGGTTTACGTCTCCCCGAGAGGTTTTAATTAATCACAGACCTGCGGAGTGTGATGGAGGGCACCTGCTCTCTAAGAATCAATGCTCCATCCGCTCGCGAATAATTAACTTATAATGGTAGAGTCAGCACAGGCTCTAAGTGCAATTAACAAGACCCCGGCCACATGCAGACTTCTGCCGCCAATATGGTTCCCACCGTAACACCGTAACACCGTAACACCGCAACACCGTAACACCGTAATAGCTACATTTACAAGCTTTACAGCTACAAGGTTGCATTATTGCGCAAATAGTCAGATAGTTTGGCCACCAGTGATCCTATCAGCTTTGGAAACTTACAAAAGGTCGTTATGAATCTAAACAGTTATATCATCACTCTCCGTTTATAATATTTATGAAATTGTGATTTATCGAGGTCCCTCTTCGAAATCAGATTGCTAAACGATGCCTTATTTTCGAAATTGTATTTGCATGCGCATATTGGATAAGCAGATATAACTGTGACCAAGAATTTTAAATTTTCATGCAAGATGCAGTCAGAAATGAGCAGAAATGAAGTAGTACTGATCGACTGAAAAGTGTAAAATACAAACCTCTAACAACTCATATTCTCCGGTTTGCGTCCGGTTTAAGTCCATTTATTGAGTCACTATTACCATTCTCAACGAGCCTTTTCCTGAAGTTAAAACAATCGTCTATTTGTTTAATAAAAGGCTGGAGCAAGTGTGCTGTAAAAAGTGGCATACATGCCCCGCAAACCCCCCTTACCTTCCCCGCAAACCCCCCTACCCCAATGATATGCTAGAGTTGACAACTCGAAAATTAAAACTTGCATTATGAGAATAATTGTGAGCAGTGATATAGCTCCAAAATGTGATGATATTACTAACAAACAAAACAGACAATAACTTATCTTATCTTATCAGTATGTTACTGATTAGCCACGTGCTACTTGAATAGTTGAATTACCACCGAACGCTTAATGTTAATTCAACCAATGATAAGGTAAATTGATAAGGTAAAATGATAATGTAGAATGATAAGGTAGAATGATGAGGTTGAAAATTAGATGAACAATATTAATTATGTCCTAAGAAGTTCTAGAGTCAACCTGTCCTGATGAGTGGTGCTGTCATAACTTTGTTTTAATTTGGAAAATACCGAAATCGCAGTTCTTCCCGATTTAATTCGAACTGTGATTTCTGATATGCTTACTATGATAATTGTATAAGTGTATCTATTGCTGAAAATAATTAATTATGGCGTGTATCATGAACTCTAAATTCTTAGAGTGAATTGATACAAATATTGTTTTAGAAAATATCTAGGTATGTATTATCGAATTATTATACTTAGAATTAACTAATTAAGTATCATCGATTCAACCAGTCACAATATATGCATACTTCGAGTTTAAATTTAAATTAAACGACGTCGATTCAACAAGGTACATACGTAATTGAGTAATCGGGATACAAAATAATTCAACTAATGGACGTTAAACCGTCGTGTAAGATTTATTTCTGTAAATCCCATTTGTAAAAGCGTTACATTTCCAGGCAGGCAAAGACAACGGAAACTAAAAATTACCACACACATAAAAAAAATCCAAGAAATGTAATATTGTTATAGTTAATATAACATCGTAGTATATTATGTAATTCTCAGGGAAAGAATTTAAAGAAATAACGTACAAACAAAATAAGAATCAGCAGATATCCAACATAATCCGCTTTTATTTAGATACAGTATGTTTTTTAGAGTCATTAATATGTCCACTGCGGTCTGCGCGGCCACAAATCTCAAGGGTTTGTTAACCAAAACTTTTATCGACTAATAACGGGCTAACTATAACAAATTTCGCTGGTATTTTAGAAGGTGGTTGCAAGTAATCACAACATAATACCAAACATAGGCAAAATAGAGCAATTCCCACACCAGAAATGACTTGAGAGAAGACAAAATTAACGTTAGTTTATCAAAAGATCGCCAGCATAACACTATGTACTGACAGTAACAATAAGATCAACTGCAGCGCAAAAGCTTTACTGGCCGGAGAGAGACTATCCTGTAGTAGTACTGTAGTCGTGGACCGTTACACAATAGAATTCAGGAATTTGTTCTCTGATCATGCACATGTTTACTAAATTCCCGGAGAAACTGTTCACTGCTGTAAGGTTACTTAGATATCTTCATGTGCCTGCCAAACAATAACATCTTACGTGGACAGGTATTGGGTAAACACTTAGGGTCCCTATATATAATCATATAATAATCTTTCATTGTTCTGTTCATAACAAATTTTGTAAAGTCTTACCCATGTGACATAAACGTTTCCAATCTTCTTATATCACATGTCCTCCTTCAGCCAGGCACGTGCCGACCAATTCGCCGATGATAATAAAGTATTAAGTATTGTTAATCGATAGGGCCTAAAAAAGGTTCATAATTGCAACAATCTCAAGTATGTGTTAAACTGAAAGTTGATACGATTTAAGAAATGGTAGATTTAAGAATATTGCACTTTAAAAGGAAAATAATTTTAACCGGATGAACGGAACTTGGAACTAAATCTGCAAATCGATGGCACTGTGAAACTGTTGCATCCACCGTTCATTTTGCAGAAGGTGAAACTGTTGCATCCACCGTTTATTTGGCAGAAGGTGAAACTGTTGCATCCACCGTTTATTTTGCAGAAGGTGAAACTGTTGCATCCACCGTTTATTTTGCAGAAGGTGAAACTGTTGCATCCACCGTTTATTTGGCAGAAGGTGAAACTGTTGCAACCACCGTTTATTTTGCAGAAGGTGAAACTGTTGCATCCACCGTTTATTTTGCAGAAGGTGAAACTGTTACATCCACCGTTTATTTGGCAGAAGGTGAAACTGTTGCATCCACCGTTTATTTTGCAGAAGGTGATGATGTGCAGATAACAAAAATACCAGAAAATCCACTGTTTAGTGATTAGGTTGTTAAGTTATATGAAGAGTGTTTACTGTTTACGTGCTGGAAAATTATCGGATCTCACAATATGGCTTCATATATTCAGAGTAACAGAGTAACAGATAACAGATAACAGATAACAGATAACAGATAACAGATAACAGATAACAGATAACAGATAACAGATAACAGATAACCAGTAGTCTCTATTAATTCACATACGAACCACGCATATTACCGATTCTTAATGGTTCACAGTGACACAGAAACCTCAAAATAAAGACTTCCTAGATAAAGTTTAAATACGTGTCAAGTTCAAAGATTTCACGAGAATAAATCTTCGTGGGTGAGAGATGAATGGTAACACAATTCAACAGCATTTTATTATGCTATTATTATATCACAAACCAGACATTGATCACAACTTTGGCAATTCTCATTTTACTGGCATTATTGTTACAGTAAACCCCGATGCCAATAAAAGTCGATGTAACAAGATGTACGTTTAAAAAAACTAACAGATAAAAAATAAAGAATCATCGAGAGTCTCGATTCGAGACCAAGAAAGAAGATTTAAGAAGCGAAACTTCCACTGGAAACTGTCCAAAAATGCGTGTTATCAACAAACCAGACTGATTGCAACGATTTGTATCAAAGGTTATGTAATAAAGGTTATAGACTATAGAGCAGTGTAGCAGGATTTATATAACGGTATAATGTTACATAATATCATAATTAATGTTACATATTATAATTAGTGTTACAGTACATATTATAATTAATGTTACATATCATAATTAGTGTTACATATTATAATTAGTGTTACATATTATAATTAATGTTACATATTATAATTAATGCTCAGATTATAATTACTGTTACATATTATAATTAGTGTTACATATTATAATTAGTGTTACATATTATAATTAATGTTACATATTATAATTAATGTTACATATCATAATGAGTGTTACATATTATAATTAGTGTTACATATTATAATTAATGTTACATATTATAATTAGTGTTACATGTTATAATTAGTGTTACATATTATAATTAATGTTGCATATTATAATTAGTGTTTCATATTATAATTAATGTTACATATTATAATTAGTGACTCTCATTTTGATATTACATGTTATATTATGACGCAGTGAAACTATCAGACTACGATGTATGGCGACTTGCCACCCCATGGTAACATCAAAATATATTGACTTTGTAACATCGTTGTGCCATAATGTGTTATGATCACAAGTTCAAGTTACCCACATTGGTGACTCACATAATATTATGCTTATTATTGAATGAATAATATCATGTTAGCACGATATAAAAGTGTAACCACGTGTCCCTTTCTAGTTGACACCTCATTAGTGTATTGGGGTTTTCTCAGACCAGACCAGAACGGTTTCCACAAAGGACGGTACACACTCCCACAGGTTTTTGCACGTAGAATAATGAGGAGTAAAAGATTGGGGAAACACTGAAATATCAGCTGTACTTTTGAATGGATCAGACACTTAGACATGCAAATGGCTGTTACTCGAGACTCATCATGAGATCCAGAAACTTACACTGAAAGAAGAAATACTAAACCTTGGTAAAATTAACAGCAACCTTTCAGAGATGTGCACTGTGTTACTTTTAGGCGGCGGCGGTCTTAATGCCAAAATTGGTCGGCGGCGGCGGTTTGACCGCGGTCCGACTACTAGATATCCAAACCGCGGTCTACTGTGTACATGATGGTAATTTGGCTGTGTAACTGATGTATATGAATTGATTTCTTATTATCACTCTACATTGAAGAACTAATTCATCGTTAACAGCTGTATTTTTTGATCTGACGGCCGCGAATCGCGGTGGTGCTCTGCACGCTTAGCCTCTGTCCTAGCCTAACGGAGAGCTCGCTTTGCATGTCATTGTTTGAAGGCAGAATATCAGGCCAGCTTAACAATCTTGCTTTGGCAGTTTGGTACCTCAAGTTGGCACAGCAAGTCCGGTAAAAGACATCTAAAATACTTAGTTACTGTAGCAGCTCGAGATAAATAGGTTTAAATCTGATATCGACAGAGTACTGTGCAGTTTGTGGGAGGATCGTTGACGAGCAACCGATTAATGACTAAGTAAGTAAGTAAAACAAGATTCATTAATCAAGAGTCACGGGACTTCTGACTGTGTCGCGTGACTACTGACTGTGACTGATAAAGAATAATGGAGCCAGACAAATATTGCAGGGAAGGAATTTATTAAAATGACATTCTCGAAATGAAATTATATATCAAGGCCTGAAATATGAGTAAGTAATTAGTTATTACGTTATTACTTTTTAAGGTCCTTGTATATTTTTAGCGTCGACAACCTGATCCACGAATATAAACAGTAGTAATAATCTATGTAATAATATAAGACGTGTTTAAACACTATTAGAGCTGAACTAAAATAAATGATCGCTAGAAGCTAGTTAAACTGAACTACACTAACTTATCGTAGTTAGAGCTGAACTACAGTTTTTGGTAAACTAATAGTGAAATACTATTGCTGAATTCGGCTGAAATGTCAACTACAGGCCTACGCCTTACAGCTAACTTTTGCGACGACAACAAGCAACCACTCCCACAGATGAACTGAACTACAGATAATGAGGCCTCATTCTTCAACCGGAGAACCGGAGAACGTAAAGTACTCCTCAATTAAGTCTACTGATTACTAAGTGAGCACTTC